TATTTTTGGAACAAACGTAATACAGGAAACTTGCTGTGGACATCAAGAAAGAAACGAGGCGGCCACGAGGCAGGGAGGCGCGCAACAGGTGGGTGGGCGCGCCCCCCACCCTCGTGGGCCCCTTGTGGCTCCCTTGACCGACTTTCTTCGCCTATATATATACTTACATACCCTATTTCCATCGCCGCAACCTTCTGTACCCGTGAGATCCCATCTTGGGGCCTTTTCTGGCGCTCCGCCGGAGGGGGAATCGATCACGGAGGGCTTCTACATCAACGCCATAGCCTCTCCGATGAAGTGTGAGTAGTTTACCGCAGACCTTCGGGTCCATAATTATTAGCTAGATTGCTTCTTCTCTCTCTTTGATTCTCAATACAAAGTTCTCCTCGATCTTCTTGGAGATCTATTCGATGTAATTCTTTTTGCGGTGTGTTTGTCGAGATCCGATGAATTGTAGATTTATGATCAAGATTATCTATGAACAATATTTGAATCTCCTCTGAATTCTTTTATGTATGATTTGTTATCTTTGCAAGTCTCTTCGAATTATCAGTTTGGTTTGGCCTACTAGATTGATCTTTCTTGCAATGGGAGAAGTGCTTATCTTTGGGTTCAATCTTGCGGTGTCCTTTCTCAGTGACAACAGGGGCAGCAAGGCACGTATTGTATTGTTGCCATCGAGGATAAAAATATGGGGTTTATATCATATTGCTTGAGTTTATCCCTCTACATCATGTCACTTTGCCTAATGCGTTACTCTGTTCTTATGAACTTAATACTCTAGATGCATGCTGGATAGCGGTCGATGTGTGGAGTAATAGTAGTAGATGCAGAATCGTTTTGGTCTACTTGTTGCGAACGTGATGCCTATATACATGATCATGCCTAGATATTCTCATAACTATGCACTTTTCTATCAATTGCTTGACAGTAATTTGTTCACCCACCGTAATACTTATGCTATCTTGAGAGAAGCCACTAGTGAAACCTATGGCAACCGGGTCTATTTTCCATTATATAAGTTTCCGATCTATTTTATTTTGCAATCTTGAATTTCCAATCTATATCATAAAAATACCAAAAATATTTATCTTATTATTATCTCTATCAGATCTCACTTTTGCAAGTGGCCGTGAAGGGATTGACAACCCCTTTATCGTGTTGGTTGCAAGGTTCTTATGTGTTTGTGTAGGTACGAGGGATTTGCGTGTAGCCTCCTACTGGATTGATACCTTGGTTCTCAAAACTAAGGGAAATACTTACGCTACTTTGTTGCATCACCCTTTCCTCTTCAAGGGAAAACCAACGCAGTGCTCAAGAGGTAGCAGGGAACAATATGAAACCCCTAAGCCCCTCCTTCAAAAAAAAAACCCAGGCCTTTTAGTCCCGGTTGGTGTCACCAACCGGGACTAGATCCCCCCCCCCTCACGGCTGCACGCTGCCAGCCACGTGGACGACCACTAGTCCCAGGTCGTGGCGAACCGGGACTAAAGGGGGGGGGCTTTTATTCCCGACCCATTAGTCCCGGTTGGGGAACTGGGACTAGAGGCCCTTATGTACCGGGACTATTGGCCGATCCTCCACTAGTGGCTGGAACAATTTTTCGTTGACTCATCTAGGGTTTTATGGAATATCTTGGTAATTATAGAGTTGAGAGGCAGTGGAAAGGACCCCGTGGGCTCCACTACCCACCAGGGCGCGCCGGGGGCCTAGGACATGCCCTGGTTCCTAGTGGGCCCCACGGGCCTCCCCTCATGCACTTCCTTGGCTCCCAAGCTGTCTTCTGGTCCAAAAAAATCCCCAAAAAGTTTCGTGGTATTTGGACTCCATTTGATATTGATTTTCTGCGAAGTGAAAAACAAGGAAAAACAACAACTCCCACTGGGCACTACGTCAATAGGTTAGTCCCAAAAAATGTATAAAGTTGGTAGAAAATGATTATAAAACATCCAAGAATGGTAATATAACAGCATGGAACAATCAAAAATTATAGATACGTTGGAGACGTATCAACATCCCCAAGCTTAATTTCTGCTTGTCCTTGAGTAGGTAAATGATAAAAACAGAATTTTTGATATGGAATGCTGCCTAACATGTTTATCATATTTTTTTTTCTTTGTAGGATGGACATATGGACTTCTAGATGATTCAAAGCAATAGTCTATAATTTGACATAAGACTTTAATAGTCAAGCATATCAACAAGCAACCGTGACTTTCAAAATATCAACGCTAAAGAAAGTTATCCATATCGCATCATGCTCAATCATTGATCCATTCATGAAACACACTCAAATATTAGCCACGTCCAATGTTCAAGTATGATAATAGTGTTCCGTAGTTGATGCTTTCACTAGTGCAGGATGCTGCCAACACGACACTACGATCAGAGACCTTTTGACGAAATTGTGTGTGATGCATTAATCGCAAACGGTGGTGTAAAAACCCCGTCAAAAAGGTGCAAAACGTTTGCGATGACGGATGCATCAAACACGGTTCAGATTTTAGTTTTGTGTGTGGTGTAGAGCATACGGCTCAGTGCAATTAACTGTTTGCGATGAGGAGCAACAAAAGAAACAGGCAGCCAGATGAAGGTGTGTGCGATAAACAGCATACGGTTCACTAGGATGAACTGTTTGTGATTAGGCAACACAAAAGAAACGGTCATCCAGATCAAGGTGTGTGCGATATATGGCATGCGGTTCACTCGGATGAACTGTTTGTGTTGAGACAAGAGAACATAAACGGTTCAATATAACAAGATGTGTGTGATACGCGGCAAACAGGGTCTGTAATCAGAAATGTGTGCTACTAGTTGACCATCACGGCTACGACGCGCTACTGGTTGTTTTCCTCCTCCTCACACTCGTGGTGTTCGAGGAATTGCCTGGAAGGTAAATTGTTTTTGCTTCTATTTGTTTTGTTGTGTACAAATGAGTAGATTGTAATGAAATATTTTGTATTGAAGATGAAGTCATTTGAATCCTCTTCGTGGGATGATTCCTCGTCCAGAAAGGACTATGACATGACCGAACATGAGGACATTGCTTTGATCTTGATGATGCACATGAACAAGAAACCGAAGCATGATGGTTCGGTTTAGGAGCATGATTTGATTTGAAGGGATAGGCTAGAGGCGCACAAAAGATTGGTGTGCAACTATTTTGTTCCATTCTGGTGTATTCAGAGCAATACTTTCACCGTCTATTTAGGATGTCTCTGAATTTGTTCCTTCACATTGTCAACTATGTGAAGCAACATGATCGGTCCTTCGAGCAGATGAGGCATTGCACCGGAAATCTTGGACTAGCACCATCCAGAACGTGACTTCCGCATTGTGCATAATGGAATATGGTCTCCCAACCACACATACAACTTGGGATACTACCTTGCGGCAGGTATATATATCCGAAGTGGGTTACTATTGTGAAGTCAATTTCAAGACCCTAAGGTAAGAAAGAACTCTACTTCCATAATGCTCAAGTATCTGCTAGAAAAGATGTGGAGAGGGCTTTTGGGATTTTGCAAGCCCAATTTGCTATTGTGCGAGGACTGGCTAGGTTTTGGGATCAACATATCCTTTGGTACATCATCACGGCCCACGTGATCATGCACAACATGACCATTGAGAATGCGTGTGGGAAAGATTTGGATTACACCTTCTATGAACTCATGGGAAAACTGATGCAGTCGCTTATAAGGGAAAACCACATCTGACCCTTTCTTGAGGTGTAGACATTCAAGATTCCGATATGCACGAAGATCTTCAAAAAGATCTCATCGAGGAGTGGTGGGCATGGCAGGGGCAAAAAGATCTCATGTGTGATGAACAATTTATGTTGAATTTGAGGTTGTGGATTGATGATGTAATAATTTGATATTGTGGATTGAGGACTTTGATGTTATGTTCGTACTATTTGTCTTTTATTTGTTTTGAATTCATTTGATGTTATTTGTTTCAATATGTATGCAATTGTGGTGCCGTACTTTAGGGTTGTTGTTGGAGAAGAAAATTGTGAGGTGCCCTAAAACCCACGTTTTGATGCTTTAGAACTACTACTTTTGTGTGCCCTATTGTAGGGTTGCCGTCGGAGATGCTCTAAGGAGGTCATCAAGGACATCAAGTCTGCTTCTGGAGGAGGGCATGGCAGTATAGTTTGTGAAATTATCATATTGGCTGCTGATTTTGTATCATGTTCCTTTATCTTTGAAGGAGGTCTAATGTCGAGACACATGGTCTCGCTAAATACACTCTAGGTCTTACTAAAGTACTAAAAGACGCCCCTGCTGGCTATTTCAGCCTCCTGATCTTCATTGTATTCCTACAAACCTTGATATCAATAATAAAGTGGAGTGTGTTTAGCCTAAAAAAAATCTAAACAAAGACCGACATTTTGATCATGGCAAAAAGAACAGGTTCAGCAGATTTTGGCAACAATACAAGCATGCACTAAACTCCTCTCTTCTTGTGGCTGTAGGTTCTTGCACCTTCTGTACACAGTCCAAACAGCGATCACACGCATATTGGTGCCAGACAATCATGTCAGCGCAATGACTCATAATTATGTGACGTTAACTTAAGTCTTGAAAACATGCTATTTGGAATTTCTGTCGACACAAGAATGAGAGACAGTAAAGAGAAGACCGAGAACACTCACGACCCTAGTGAAAAATAGATGATGCATGGCATCTTTATTTCCTCGTCGTTTGAAACAGTGTCAGCACCCACTTTTGCAGATAAAGGCCCTCCCCAGGGTTGCCCTCCATGTCACAGGAAACCATCATACAAGCGATTGATACTATACAATTGACCACACATTGCACAAAATTTACCATAGCCAAAGTGCATTGTACATTTGGAACTCACTGCTTCATAATTTGAGTCATCTACAACTTGGCAACTGCATCTCCAGCTCTCTGCCATGGGCTGAAAGAGTGCGTACATCGACAAGGGCTAGAGCCATATATAATGGTTTCCTGTATGATATCACCCGTCATTTGCTAAGAGCACATTGCTTTCTCCAGCGTCTCCTGCAGTTCCCCACTCTTGTATGCCTCTGCAAAACATACAACACCGCAAGCGTTAAAAACTAGGTTCATTCAAGCACTGATATCAAACAAAAACGACTACACAAGAAACATTAACACTAATCATGGGTATAAGAGAAAAACTGACACTAATCCTTCTAGACAACCATAATTTTGATGCAACAAGATCTAACATTTTTCATCAACAAGCTGATCCTTTTGACGCTGCAATGTTGTACATTTGTCATCTGTACTTAATAAAACTAAGAAGTCCTGGAATTGGTCTAATAAAGCTTTCAGTTCATGAGTCAACAACACATAATCTGCTGCTCCTTGACTAGAAGTCATTGGAATTCTGCACCAGTCCTGGAAATCGGTATTCCCAGAGGCTGGCATTATTCCATATCATTGACATTGAAGCATAAATAATAACAATAGACTTGAACTTCTGATGTGTGCTAAGAAGTATCCGGCCAGAATGTTACTTGAACTTGGAACAGGAGCAGAACAAATGAGATCTGCTCCTGCTGCAATGTTGTCCGGTTTGATGTTGGCAACCGCGAAAAGAAGGTTACCAACTTACATTACGATGGTCCTTCCTGATAATGTTGCTGTCACAGATAGGATAAATGCATAGCACAGAGTGAATCTTAAAGCAAGAAACAAAGCCATATTCCCACACAACAAAAACAATATTCCCATCTTGAGAGTTGAGATTTCGGGGTTACTATTTCAACTGCTACTAGTACTTTGGAGTTTAGACTTTAGAGCAAGGAAAGAAATACTAGGAATGATTGAAGTGGCGAGACATGATTATGATTATAGGAGGACATATTTGTTCGGGGTATTTGGAGCAAGCCACATCACCAGATGTGATCCCTACTGTCTGACAACCATCACCGGACTTTAACACTCCCAACAGCCCCAACACTTCCTGGGAAGAAATGAACTTATTATGCAAGGTTTTGGCCTAGAAAAGAAAACTTTATACCTATCAAAATCCAAGGTGCTGCAAATAGTGGGGATGCAGCTATTGGTGATAGTAATGATGGTGAGCAGGTGGGGGAGCACGCCCTGGATTCTACTCCCACCGTTCCTGAATATTTGTTTGTTTAGAGGTTTCAAATAGACTGCCACATACGGATGCATATAGACATATTTTAGAGTGTAGATTCACTTATTTTGCTCCGTATGTAATCACTTGTTGAAATCTCTAGAAAGACAATTATTTAGGAACGGAGGGAGTAATTGGCAACAGGAACATGCAAGCATCTTTTGTTGCTCACATAACAAAGACCGATTGTTTGCCATCAAGTTAAGTTGTAAAAAAGGAACTCTGAACCCATCCTGAAAAAACCTGTGGAAGCTAGAAAACAGCTTCTTAGTTTACAACAAAGCTGCTGATCAGAACTCAGCTAGTCTGAGTATCGATGTATCATGATAATTTCTGATCCCAGAAATTGGCTTTATCTAATATTGGCACTGAGCCATGGCATTCTCATTCTTTTCTCTCTCTAAAGCTGACTACAAGCTCTACTAAGTGCGTGCCACATCAGCATACGTGTTCCCTACTCTCCAAAGTCCCGGCAGTTTGGCTAAGTTAGATCATGGAACCCTGAGGCAGATTACTGAAGAAGCCAGTCCATAGACCAAGAGCGACACTAATCTTTCTCGATAATCCTAATTTTGATGCAAAAAATCTCACATTTTCATCACACTGGATTCAGATGTTCTAGATTACATAAAGGTATAGATCCGCAAGCTGATCTTTTCAAGCTTGAATGCCGTACATTCCTAGCATGGAATCAACAACGCCTAATCTGCTACTTCATTGGAATGGCTTGCCCCAAATTTAAGCTGTGCGGCTGGAATTTCGCACCGGTTCTGAAATTGGTGTTCCCAGAGGTTCGCACTATTTCATGCATTTGACACTGAAGCATAAATAAAAAGAATGGTTGAGCTTTAATGTATACTAGAAAGTATCCGGTCATGAATGCTAATTGAGTTGAAACAGGGGCACAACAAATGATTTCCTCTCCTGCTGCAATGTTGGTCGGTTTGATGTTGGCAACCGCGAGAGAAGGTTACCAACTTGCAATATGATGATTCTTCCTGATAACGTTCCCGTCACAAATAGGATAAATGCATAGCACAGAGGGGAATCTTACAGCAAAAAACACAGCAATATTCCCATCTTGAGACTTGAGATTTCGGGCTCACTGTTTCAAGTGCTACTACATTGGAGTTTAGAGCATGGAAAGCAACACTTGGAATGATCAAAGTCACAACCACATGGCAAATGTGGTTAGCTCTCTTCAAATCATTCAAATTGTAAAAGAAGTCACAAGACACAGCTGTGATTATAGGAATCCATATTTGTTCGGGGGATTTGGAAGCCACATGACCAGATGTGCTCCCTATTGTCTGACACTATCACCAGACTTTGACCCTCCCAATAGTCCAAAACATCCTGGGATGAAATGAACTTATTGTTTCGGCATAGACAAGAAAACTTTATACCTATCCAAGGTGGTGCAAATAGTGGGGATGCAACTATTTTGGTGATGGTAATGATGGTGAGCAGGTGCTGGAGCGTGCCTTGGATTCGAATCAGCAACAAGAACATAAAGCATCTTTTGTTGATCATATAGAAAAGATGAATTTTTTGTCCTCAAATTAACTTATAGGAAAGGAACTCTAAATCCATCCTGAAAAAATTGTGGAAGGAACAAAACTGCTTCTTAGTTTACAACGAAGTTGCTGATCAGAACTCAGCTAATCAAATATTGGCATGACAACACAATCTTTTTTCTCTCTCTAAAGCTGGCTACAAACTCTAAGTAAGCAACTCTCCCAGGTCCCGACACTTTGGCTAAGTTCTACAGCACGGAATCCCTGAGGCATTCCCACACACACAAACACTGGAGCAGGTAGACGAAACCAGTACATAGACCAAGTGGGACACACACTTTAACACGCAAATAACACATTTTTGTCATAGCTAAGTACTCACGATGCTAGTTCCTCCGTCTAATGTCTATAACATGTTTTGAGACTTTTACTTTTTAGCTTTTACTTACAGTTGTCACTTGTCCTGATGGCCCTTCAACTCCGTGAGCCAATGCATCTTGGTGAACCGATATACTTTAGGTTGTATTTCACATCGACCCTGTTCTATCATATCATGTTCCCAACCTTTTCCCATCTCCAACTTACAAAATGTCTAATATAGTTTCTTAAGCTTCCAGTTTTTACTCCAAACAAAGGAAAGGAAATAAGCTAGAATGGCAAAGGAAAGCAGAAAATATTCTGCACCAACGGAGTGCCTGACTGCACTCCGACTCTAGTTTATCCGATGCAGCTAAGACATATTGACACTGCCCCAGACCCTTTAAGCTACAAGAAGCAACAACGATGTATGTTGCCTTCAACATGACCAAACTATATGACTGAAACAGCTACACAGACAAGGAGTTTACACAGCAACAGAGTGCCGAGTGCAATCCAATCCTTGTTTATCTATTGAAAATGAATTACTCAACTACTCCCTTCGATCCAAATTAATTGACGCTCACTTAGTACAGCATCAACTAATTTGGATCAGAGGGAGTACTAAGACTTGACACTACCCCAACCTCTTTCAGGTACAAGAAGCAGCATGAATGTACCGTGCCTTCAACATGAGCCAATTATATGCCTGAAAGTCTGGAACAGCTACACAGACATGGATTACGGAGTTTCCCCATGCCAAATCTACCACTATCGCCCTCAACCGAAAGTATGCCAGGTTAATGAACGAATTGCCATGCCCCGATACTAGAAATAGGCATGCCACAGAACAACTCACACCGCAATATCAACAGCAACAATTCTCAAATTTTGAACCGTAATCGTGGGAGGAAGGAGAAGACAGAGAGCGCATATGAATGTGCATACCGAGGGTGATGTCGCAGCCGCCGAAGAACTCGCCGTCGATGTAGAGCTGGGGGAAGGTGGGCCAGCTGGAGTAGTCCTTGAGCCCCTGGCGGAGGGCGTCGTTGGCGAGCACGTCGAGCGTCTCGAAGGGGACGTCGAGGGAGCGCAGGATCTGCACCACGGTGTGGGAGAAGCCGCACTGCGGGAAGTCCTTGGTCCCCTTCATGAACAGCACCACCTTGTGCGCCGACACCACCTTGTCCAGCGTGTCCTTCATGCCCGCCGCCACTCCGCCGCCCTCCGCCGCCGCCAGGCGCCGGACGGTCCGGAGCCGCAGGGCCGCGGGAGGAGGGGCCGTCCGGGGGAGCGCCACCGCGGAGAACCGAGCGGGTTGAGGTCGCGCGGAGAAGGGGAGCGGGAGGGCCGCGCCGGCGAGCGCCGTGGCGGAGGGGGCGGCGGCCATCGCGGCGGGTGGCGTGTGGAGGTCGCGCGCCGGCGGCGACGGATGCAGGCAGAGGAGGGATGAGTCGTGGCTGTGGTTGACTGGGTGGCAGAACCGTCATTTCCTCGCGAGCTTTTTGTGGCCGGCCGAGAAGGCCTCCTGCTGCAAGCCAGTACTGTGGGCTGGGCCGCCTGAGATTTCTTGGGCCTGCCAGAGAGGAGTATGGAAAATATTTATCTCCAACATTCTTTTTAGGAAGTTTGTTCTTCTGGAAGTGGATTCACTCTATGGGGAAAATGGGGTGGCATTTTGTGTGGAGTGTGGCTAGACTCCGTGTAAGTATAACTTATGCTTCCCTAAAAATACAAAAAAAGCTTTGGGATGCATGTCCACCAATTTGATCCGTGAGATATCATTTGTTTATGGTGTTGTCATGATGAGTTAGGCAATGAGTTCCTTGATGAGCTTTCTCTTTTTTTGGCAAAAAAATAAAAACAATTATAATTGTTCATATAGGAGTATAAAGCATGAAATAAAATATATTAAAAATTACATTGAGGTATCTGGACCATCGAATGATCATTGTCGACATGTCGTTGTTGGCACGGCCACACCGAAACTGGCTCGAACTTGTCAATGACAGCTGGGAATTATTCGTGCACATGCCCCTAAATACCATCGCCTCAGAGCCATGATTACCATCATTGAACCCTTGAATCAATCTGAAGAACTTGACAGTGAATCTCGTCATCGCGTACGCATGACAAGAAGCCCTAACCTTGCATCCCCGAGAAGCCGTTAGGAATCTACACTGGAGTTCCGTCGAATCCGTCCTGATGGACAACGTCGAGAAGGATCGGATCTTGGAAGACCAATTCAAGGATGAAGTGTCGCCCCTGCAAGGACTAAAACCATAACCCATCTCGCGACCACCACCGCTCCGACCACCATCGCTCGTCAGAGCAGCTATCAAGGGGAGGGTGAATGTACGGGCTCGCTGACGGAGATTAAGAGGAGGGAGGCTTAGTCCTAGTCATATTGCGAGGTGCAAAAGAAAGCTATTGACAAGCTCTGTGTTAGCAGTGTCATGAAAATTGTGGGGATTGACTTCAATATTCTTAGGCGGTTGGTGAGACAAATAAAGAAAGTGTGAAATATATTCACTTAGGTCTACTTGACATTATACTTAACCACCGGCCTTTACTTGTTTACTTAGTGAAAATAATAATGTGGAACTTTAAGTTATAGAGTTTCATTTTGAACTTTTCTAGTTAAATAGTGAATGTTTTTCATATCATCCGATCTATTTGAATATATGTATTTATTCCCAAAATTATATTGAGACTATCGACATCAAACCTAAACGCTTCAAAAAGGTTGTTGGCCTAATTCAGTTGACACTCAAGGAGCATAAAAAATACTTGAGAGGAGTGCTAGATGCTTTTAGAAGGAATGGAGGAAATGCGCCTTTGCATCCCAAGCTTTGTGAAAGAGAATTGACATGAATATTGGGATTACCAACTTGTTTGTTGATGAAAAAAAAATATGTGGGTTGCAACTATCCTGTGGGATCTCTTTGTTCTGTATATTTCCTATCGAACATCCCCTCTCAACATAGATCTTGAGTTCTGATGAACAAAACTATCGTTGAGAAGCTTGATGAACATATAAGAAGGTTTCTTCAGCATGGCGCCAGATGGCTAAGTGGGCCAGAGTGTGGAGACACAAAAAGTCAAAAACAACAAGGACAACTAGGAAATCATTATATTAGACGAATACGTTCATTATCAATTTGTTGCTTATGTTGAAACTAGATTCTTTTACTCTCCTCGTCGAAAACTATTTGAATGTCACAAAGAGTTGCATGCAGTTAAATATGTGCATGATCGACCAATTTTGCACTTGATTCATTGAGTTGTGATTCTAGTAGTATCCAGTAAGTAGCAGATCTGACGACGTCAGTCTTTTGCACTATGGATGCAAACGGTTTTCTTGACCTCGCTCTCCTCCTTCCAAAACACAACGTGCATTAGTTTTTTCAAAAGTTAAATATGTGCATGATTGACCGATTTTTTAGTAAAATATATCAATATCCATGACACCATATTTGTACCATTAGATCCATTATGAAAAGTATTTATATATTTTTGTTTATTTTTTACTGTATATATCAATATCTACTTATACTTCAATAAAATCTATACACCTTATATTCTGGAATGGAGGGAGTATCTCTCTTCATAACTTGTTCACTGATTATTCCCATTGAGAGACTAATAAAAAGGCTAGCCTAGTTTTTATAGAAAAATTAGGACAATGCCCGTGTGTTGCAACGGGATATAAATATTATAGTATGTTACTTGTGATTTCCCAGACCATATTAATGTGTTTGTGTGAATATTTTTTATTAAATTGTGCCCATGATCCACCTTATATTTTGATGAGAAGCTTGGTAAATAAATTAAAGTAAAATTGGTTCAGAAGGTCATATTCATGTTTCACTTTTCTCTCCTCCTCCCCCCCTCTTTAATAGGGGCCCGGGGGGCGCCGGCCCCCTATAGATTCAATCTCAAGGGGGGGGGGCAAAGGGGGGACTTGCCCCCCAAGTCAGGTGGGGTGCCCCCCACCCCTAGGGTTTCCAACCCTAGGCGCAGGGGGAGGCCCAATGGGGGCGCACCAGCCCACCAGGGGCTGGTTCCATTCTCACTTCAGCCCATGGGGCCCTCCGGGATAGGTGGCCCCACCCGGTGGACCCCCGGGACCCTTCCAGTGGTCCCGGTACAATACCGGTGACCCCCAAAACTTTCCCGGTGGCCGAAACTGGACTTCCTATATACAAATCTTCACCTCCGGACCATTCCGGAACTCCTCGTGACATCCGGGATCTCATCCGGGACTCCGAACAACTTTCGGGTTAACGCATACTAATATCTCTACAACCCTAGCGTCACCGAACCTTAAGTGTGTAGACCCCACGGGTTCGGGAATCACGCAGACATGACCGAGACAGCTCTCCGGCCAATAACCAACAGCGGGATCTGGATACCCATGTTGGCTCCCACATGTTCCACGATGATCTCATCGAATGAACCACGATGTCGAGGATTCAAGTAATCCCGTATACAATTCCCTTTGTCAATCGGTACGTTACTTGCCCGAGATTCGATCGTCGGTATCCCAATACCTCGTTCAATCTCGTTACCGGCAAGTCACTTTACTCATACCGTAATGCATGATCCCGTGACCAACCACCTGGTCACATTGAGCTCATTATGATGATGCATTACCGAGTGGGCCCAGAGATACCTCTCCGTCATACGGAGTGACAAATCCCAGTCTCGATTCGAGTCAACCCAACAGACACTTTTGGAGATACCTGTAGTATACCTTTATAGCAACCCAGTTACGTTGTGACATTTGGTACACCCAAAGCACTCTTACGGTATCCGGGAGTTACACGATCTCATGGTCTAAGGAAATGATACTTGACATTAGAAAAGCTCTAGCAAACGAACTACATGATATTGTGTTATGCTTAGGATTGGGTCTTGTCCATCACATCGTTCTCCCAATGATGAGATCTCGTTATCAATGACATCCAATGTCCATGGTCAGGAAACCGTAACCATCTATTGATAAACGAGCTAGTCAACTAGAGGCTCACTAGGGACATGTTGTGGTCTATGTATTCACACATGTATTATGATTTCCAGATAACACAATTATAGCATGAACAATAGACAATTATCATGAATAAGGAAATATAATAATAACTATTTTATTATTGCCTCTAGGGCATATTTCCAACATTTATTCCAAGTTCACGACATCCGGAATACAAGCAATCTCTGGCAAAACCCCTAGCCACACATGGCGGCCCACCGCGAGAGGCGCAACTCCCTTAGCTAGCGAGTGGGCCTCAAAATTATTGTCTCTACTCTCGAAACGGAACTCAACAAAAGAAAAATTATTGCTACTAGTTTGAATCTCTCTAAGGATAGGAGCATAAGTGGGAGAGCCTGCATATTTGATGTTTGAAATCACTTCTGCACAATCTGAGGCAATGGCAAGATCTTGCAGATTCAAATCCCGGGCTAGGGCTAGTGTCTCGCTGCATGCTTGTGCCTCCAGACTAGCCGGGTCGGTGAGGCCGTCAAAAACCATCGCTGAAGCACCCAAGAATTTCCCAAAATTGTCAAGGCATACTACTCCCGCCGCACCCTTGTCTCCTAACGTTGACAGGCCCCCATCACATTTGAATTTTGCAGCCTCGCCCGAAGGCGGTAGCCACACTTTGGCACTCTGCCGGACCGCTCGTGCTTCATTTGCCCTGGGTCTGTGCAAGTTAGCTATGTTTAGCTCCTCCAAAAATCTCTTTATGAAGCTCATGGTGGAAAGCGGGCTCTGATATTCATTCTCATGGATAGCTTTCCTCCTGGCCCACCATATCGCCCACATAGTCACTAAAATTCGAGCTAGGCCTTGTTGATTTGTTGTCTCAGAAAGCTAGAACAGCCAAAGCCTTGCATCTTCGTTTTGGTTTGATATCACATGTTCGAGCAGCTCATCGTCCTCCAAAGCCCAAACACATCTTGCCATGCGGCAACTTAGTAGCGAATGACGCCAAGTGTCCTCCTCTGCTCCATAGATAGAGCAAGATGGAGAATCTGCCATATGCCTTTCATGTCTAACCAAGCCTGTCGGAATTGATGTATGCGCCAAACGCCACACAAAAACTTGGATTTTTGAAGGAACCTTCACCTTCCACAGCTGGGTCCATGAGTTTTTGTCAGCAATAATATTAGAATGGCCTGGTCGATGTTCAAGCCAATCTTCCCTTTGTGTTTTGATAGCACAAATCAATCTGTATGCTGACCTTACCGAAAAGAACCTCGCTTATCGTAATGCCAAGCCCAGAAGTCCTCCTGTTGCTTGGTGCCGAGCGGTATATTGAGAATGACCTCAACATCAGCAGGGATGAAATGATTAGTTAGGGCTTGCTTGTTCCATGACCGGGTGAC